TGAGGGGTTCGTGGGGAAGCACAGAGGATTTGGGGTCGCGCCTCTGCGTCGGAGAGGCAGCTCTGGAGTCCACCGCAGCGCTTCTCGCGCGCGTCCACACCCTCACACCTGGGGGAGGCCCACGCCGCCGCACAGCCCCTCCCCAGGCTTTGCAAATCTCGGACACGCGTTGTAATTATTTCTGCCCGGTGGATCCAGCTCTTCAGCCGCGCCACAGAGCCGGTCAGAAATGAAGTCAATTGTGGCAAGGCCTTGGCTGCTTTCATGAAGGAATTTTTTTGCGCTCACAGTCATTTTTTTCCCCTTCCCTTTAAAATAATATTTAAAATAGCAGGCACCTCTCAGGCATTCGTTGGCGCTAGTTAGATGCGTGAGCAATGGAGTGGGTATTTTCATAAAGAACGAGGCCGGCTGTTATTTACCCGGGGGCCAAGCAGATGAAAACTTAATTAGCGTGCCTGTCCTAAAACCTCGGCATAAATCTCGCCTGGCCTTTTGCATAACGCTACATCTTTGCTTATGAAAAACGGGATGTGAGCAACTCGCTGCACATTTCTCTGATTCTCCAGGTCTAGGGCTGCTGACACGCATTCGATCAAGTTTAAAGGAATGCGCATAAATCAGCAATCCCCTAGCGTCTTCTCGCTACAGGTTCGCGAATCCAGAAGGGCGCCTCGGAACCCCCCAGGTCTGGGGATTAGCAGTCCCGAGCAACCTCCCTCTCCTCTCCCAAACCCCGGAATTCGCAGAGAGGAAGCGGGATGCCGCGTCTTCACGGGATCCTCCAAACACGCACAGCACTGTGTGTCTATTATACACTGAAATCTGGTCATTAACTGTCTGCACACAGATGTATCACCCTTCACTGACTTTCACTGCCTCAAGGTGGATCTTTAAGAAAATATTTAATTAGGTTGATTTTTAAAAAATGAATACTTTTTAAAGATTTCTTTCCTTTTCCGTTAAAAACTTTAAATTGGATCACTTCAGCTCTGCATCAGGCATAAATAGTAGTGAAATGCGCAGTGACATTTTACAATCATCCACTTAAAATAACTTAATAAATTTGACAGTATTAAGAGCAGATGGAAAAGTCGTTTTTTGAGTCCCATATTTATGTATTTTTTTATTTATAGGAAGCGTTTCCTTTTCAGAAAAAATACTTGAATCTGGTTTTTGAGAACACTATCCATGGGTCAGTTTCTGACACTGTTAGTCCTGTTTTTCAGGAGGAGGCTGGGTGTCTTCCTGGCTGTCTTTGTTCTAAAGGTTTCCTGCTGATTGCTATTTAGACATTAGGGAGCCATCATAATCCATATCCACCTCAGTTTATCTGGTTCATCCATGTACATTTTAAACAGAGGGGAGTTGAGTTAGATTGGCACTATGGACAACCATTTTAGAAGGGGGGAGGGGACAGCTGACACATCTTCTGTCATTACAGTTTCAAAAACTGGAAAGAGAGGAAAAAAAGAAGGCTACTACTTTACCCAGGGCTCCTGCAGTGGTGATGGTGATATTCCTTCATCAGGGTTGCTGTTGGCTTCTTTCCTAGGCCTGAGGCTTAAAATTTCTTACATCTAAAGAAAAATATCCCCTATCAACAGAAGAGTCCCCTTCAGAGCTGTTCGTAAACACACTTTTGGATCAAGCTTCAAGGGGATTTTCCATCACTTTAAACATTTTGGGAAAAAGTCATTACTTTGCTTGACGGTAGCTCACTTAGAGTTGTGGCACAAGATGTGGGGAGGTGATTTGAAGCAGTATTTTCACCAGCAGAGCGAAACTCCCCAGGGCAGCAAAATATGATTGCGCTTCACAAGACCATTTGATACGTATGTTTCAGGACTGTCCATTTAAAAGAAAAATAGCTTGACATTCTTTCCATCATTCTTCATCTATAAAGAAGAGTGTTCAGTCTTCAGGCCAGGTTGGAAACGTTTGTAATCAACCAATATTATTTTCCACCAAATGATGAATCCGGTTCTTGCATTTCCTCTAACACAAAGACAGAATTAATCTGCCTCTGAAAATTCTGCATCCCAAAGCTCCTGATTCCACAAACATTTTAATACATGTGTGCACAGCATGGATTTGACAAAAAACACATTACCCTACGTGTGTATTAAATACATAAACATACATGTGAACTATTTATGACTGAACATAGCACCTGATGTGTTGTTAGGGGTCAATAAACAGTAGCCAGAATACATATTATCATTACAGGTTTGATGGTGGTTGTTAGTATTAAGCATAGTTATTTCTCCCACAAATCAAATGGCAGATTCAGAAGCATCAATTGCATCAGATTGTACACCACCCTGGAGCAGCTCTCAGCTTTGAGCTATCCAAGATAATCTCCTTCTGCTCCATATTACAGTCATTGTGTAGATATGAGATATTTAAGTTTTCCCTACTGAGCTCTCAAGAGGTGGGTTTCTTTGAATTTCTTTAATGTAACTCTAGAACTCTAGAGTTAGGAAGGTATTCAAAACTTTATTTGCCGTAAAGACTCCTGATAGCTCTAATTAGAGTGGTAGACCACCATGGAGGGTGAGGGCCAGCAAAGAATGGTTATTTAAGAACACCTCTTGGGCTACAGCAAAAATGTAAAGCTTTAAAGTAGATCTGTAGAAATCTGATGCAGAGTGAGCTGCTAGGAAGACAACTCAAACTTAGCCATTAAAGAAAAGGAGCAACACTTCATCATGTAAAGTACATTTTGTACCTCAACTCTAGCAATCACCTTAAATTACAATGTCTTCGGTCATCAGCAATTAATGATACTATATCTGTACAATTTCTACAATTATATATACAAGCACACACAAGCATTGATATGCAAATGTATACATGTATAAACATATATGATATATATTCACATATATACAGGCACATGTATAATTTACATATATTCAAATTTGCTCCATCTGGAGCCAAATAAATGAGCACTAAATCTCTAAAACAAGTCAAGAAGGTAAGAGTTCTTGATTCCCTTGAAGCTGAAGAATTACAAGGAGGCTTGTCAACACGAGGTGGCGCCCTTGATCTACTAATCCAGCCGAGGCCAATTCATGAGCTGTCAAAAGTCAAGGTCACAAATTGTCTTTTTTCGTCAAGGTCAAGGTTTAAGGCCTTTCCTAGTCCTGTCATTTCAACAAATATCAAACCTGCCCTTTCAGACACATGCAGACCCAAGAGCAGATTTAAAAATACGACATCCTAGGCATTGCTGATACTAAGCAACTGTTTTTCATTTTCCAAAGGGAGCCTGGGAATTTACACTATCTCTTAGTCCTTTCTCTTCTCTCCCTTTCAGAATACCTGATACTTTCATATCCTTGAAGCACTTATCATATAAAAGATTTTAGTTATGAGAGGTTTCTCCCTTTTTCTTAAAAAATTTGTAGCAAGAAGAAAAGTTGAACAATAGTAGAAAAGAATGGTCCTCGGTTTGTATAAGACAAACCTGCTCCTTTTCTTTCCGTGAAGTGCACATTCAGCAAAGGAGACTAATGAGTATTTCCTTCAGATTTTCATGGCAGTGACTATTTTACTAACAGAATTAATACCACAAGATCTCTATCTACAGATCTAATTTTTTTCATTTTTAGTAGAAATATTTAAAAAGCAAGTGCACAAATATATTTTCACAGTGTGCTGAATGTCTTTATTTACAAGATAGCATTTTATAGCGAATATGAACAAAACGAATGTGTGAGTTGAAATAACTGCTTAATTAAAAATGTGCTGTGAAGATGAATCCCTAAACTTTCTAATGCAGTTTCATGACACAATAAACAAGGAAAAAATACTAATTCCTTAATAGATCAAAATATAGAGTGCAGACATCTACATATTCTGGGAAAATGGATTTCCATTTTGAGTTTTCTAAAAAATTAAAAAGAAAAATGGTTTCTCAGTAAAATGTCTAGCAAATATTGAGAAATGCCAATTTCAACGGAAAAAAAAAACTGTTTTAACCAAAGCCTATCATGTTAGGATAAGACCCTTTCAGGAGATCTGACATAAATAAAGTGAGCCCTGCAGATCATTTGGTGATTCATACATATACTAAAAAAGAGTTATCCAATTCTTTGGAAAAAATCTCTGATCTTGGGTACGCCAAATGACATGAATATGCTTGTTATAAGCAATCGAAAATTATTCTCAAATTCATTACCAACCTGGTGTACTCTTGTAGCTGCAAAGGTTTAGCTGGCCGTATTTACTAGAGACAAATGATCCTCAGAAGAGTTTTCTCTCCTTTTTCCCTTCAGAGTGAATAGTTCAAGATCATTATTTCAAGAAAAAATCTCTTTTTACCTCTAAATCTATACATGAAACATTTTTAAGCAATCGAAAATTATTCTCAAATTCATTACCAACCTGGTGTACTCTTGTAGCTGCAAAGGTTTAGCTGGCCGTATTTACTAGAGACAAATGATCCTCAGAAGAGTTTTCTCTCCTTTTTCCCTTCAGAGTGAATAGTTCAAGATCATTATTTCAGTACCTTCTCTTTTCCCCTCTAAATCTATACATGAAACATTTTTCAGAACACACAATGATAGGAATTTCACTGAGATTTACCTGAGCAGGCACTTAACATGCAAAGGGGTGACCTAAAAAGAAGAAGCAGATGTTTACAACAGCCTCCTGTTTCTGTAACCAACGTTCAGATTATTACCACCTAACATAATATCCTAAAACACCATGGTCACATAAATACTTACAAGACTTCGGTAAAGGAGTAATTTATCTGAAATTGTGTTTTTAGGGGTTGACGCTTTGACTCTAGAGTTTGTCATTTAACGGTCTGGTGGGGTTGGCAGAAGAACTGACCGTCTTTATCATTTTCTTAAAGTTTTTTTTTAAGTTGTAGATTCCATTAATGAGAAAGAGATTCCCCCTTAGAGCAAAATGCCAGTGTCTCTCTTCCCAATTCTTCAATTATTATGAAGCATTAGGTCATTATGTAGGCAAAGCAACGAGTTCTGAAGTATTTCAAGTTGCCTTCTGCTCCACTTTTTAATCCATTAACTAGTGGTCTTCAGTTTGTTGATGACTTTTTTCTCTTTGACCCTCCTATTCTGGAACCAGATTGTGACCTGCCGCTCAGAGAGGTTCGTTGTGGCTGATATCCTCCTCCGTTTGTCCTTGGTAATGAATTTGTTCGTGGCGTATTCCCGTTCGAGTTCTTTTAATTGTACCTTGGTGTAAGGCACCCGCTTCTTTCTCCCCCTCCTATAGGAGCTGGCGTCCGAGGGATGGGAGACCACGTCTGGAAGATAAGGGAGAAGGCAAGTTACATAGGGAGCAGACCAGAGCCAGGACCCAGGCGACAGCTCTATCTGAGCCACCCGCCGTGCAGCGCCCGGCTGCTCTTTGCCACGCGCTGTACAATCCGGCCTTCTGCCAAAGCAGAAGGGTTAGTAGGGAGGACGGTTAGTCTTGCGTTGAAATGAAGTTGTCCAGTTTCAGTGACCACCCCAGTCAGGATATTCTGCACACTCAGCGCGCCTGCTTCCCTAGATCGCCGGTCCCAGCGGCCTACACCTTAACTCCAGAATTAGGGTACAACACTTCTGTGCCTGGCTCCTTTGGGCTTGCCCCAAGCCCAAACACTGATGCTTCTACAATGAAGCCGTTTTTCAAGAACGAATAAGGGCAATTTGGTGAGCCAAATATCGGGTTAATCTCTCATCTTTAGCCGGTGTCAAGGGCTGGGGAGGGCGGGGCGCAGTGGGAGAAGGAAGCTAGCTAGCCAGGGTCTCCACAAGCACCCTTCCCAGCCAACCCTCACCCAAGCAGGGCCAGGGCCAGCTCAACTTGGAGCAGTGCGGACAGCGCCAGCCAGCCGGGGTCAGGCTCCCGGGGGTTGCAATGCCGCCAGGGCAGGCCAAGGCCAGGGAAAGAGCAGAGGGGCACCCGAGTGACCCGGGGCGTGAGCGGAGGAGAAGCTGGAGCAGAGTCGGAAGACAGGGGCTGGAAAGAGGGCGCCATTTACCGGGCAGAGTGGACTTCCAGAGGTGGGGAGGCTGCGCCTGCTCTTTGGGGCAGTACATTTGGCCGTTCCAGCCGTTGGGCAGCGCCCAGGGCTGGTAGCTTTCCATGGGAAGACCCAGGGGCTCGTGGCGCGACTCGCCGGGCCCCCCGAGCCCAGGCACCACCGGCATATCCAGATAGCCAGGCACTGGCTGGTGGTGGTGGTAAGGCCCGGCTGCGTAGCCCTGGTGGTAGAAGGCGAACTCCTTAGCGCGGGAGCTGAACTCCTCGGCCGCGGGGCCGGCGGTATCCATGTACTTGTCCGCGAAGGCGGCGGCCGCGGCGGCCGAGGCGGGCTGTGCGCACGACTTGATAGCGTTGGGGTGCGGACCCATTCGGGCGCACGGATAGTAGCCGCTGCCGAAATAGCCATAGGGCAGCGCCGCGGGCCCCGACGAACTCTGCGCCGCGGCCGAGCAGGGGCTGCATTGCTTGGCGGCCTCGGCGCCTGCCGGACCCGCCGGGCCCGGCCCTCCCGAGGACGACGCGGCGGCGGCGGCGGCGGCAGCGGCGGCGGCGGCAGCGGCGGCGGCGGCTGACGGGGGCGCCTCCCCCGGCGCGCTGCTGTAGGCGGCCGCGGCGCCCGGCGCCAGGGTGCTGGGTGCGCCATCAGGTTGCGGCATTGGTTGGCTGCGGCCGCTGCGGCTGCCGCGGCCGCCGCCGCCACGGAAAAGTTGCCCCCTGCGGCCGCAGCCGCTGGGTGGGGGAAGCCCCCGCCCCCGGCCCCGGCCGCTGCCGCCGCTGCTGCCGCTGCCGCCGCCGCCGCCGCCCCTTCCATGTTCTTGTTGAGCTCGTCGGCCACCAGGCCGCCGCCGTTGTCGTAGAGAAACATGACGGTGGGCTCGATCCAGCGGGGGTGGAGGAGCACGGAGGCTGTCATAGCCCGAGCCGCATGGAGAAGACCCCAGTGGCGCTGTTTTAAAAAGCCCCCAAGAAGTGAAGAGCGCGCGGCGCGGGGCCGGGGCCCGAGCAAGGGGGGCGGATCGCGCCCCGCGGGGTCGCGCCAGGCGGCCGCCCATTGGCCCGCCCCCCCTGCTCCGCCCACGGCGTATGCAAAGCGGGCGGCTCCAACCCAGCTCTGCGCCGTGCACCCGCGATCCCCGCCGCCGCCCGCGCCGTCCCCAGCGCCAGCGCCAGCGCCCGCCCCGCGGCCGCGCACCGTTCACCCAGGGGGAGAGGCGGGGGACGCGGACGGGTGGGGGTAGAGGATCCGGCGGGTGGGGCAGGGAGGGAAGGGCGGCCCTCTTGCATCCCTGGGTCCTTTCCCTTATCCCAGCGGGGACCCGAGCAGCGCAACGAGGCGGGGAGGGGCCGTGGGCGTTGCGACCTGAAGCCGTGGGGAACAGGTCAGGTAAATCCTCCAGTGGCCGGGAATTAGAGACTGGCCAGGACTGGACCAATCTAACTCAGGCTGTGTGTTTCCTGGGGCCTCTGGGGTTCTTTTCTTTCCAGGTATCGGCAGTCTTTCTGCAGCGAGACCCTAGGACGGATATCGCTTTCTGCTTCGACGATGTCGTGCTTTGGCTCTCTTTTCAGGGGAACAGGGTCAGGGCGTTTGCTTCTGTCGGTTCCTGCGGATACGCCTGGCGCATGGGTCCCAGGACATTCCACCGGAAAGTTTGGACTGCACTTAGGAGCTCCCTTTCCTTCCCTGTCCACAGTGTTAGAGAGCAAATCCATACACTTGCGTTAGGTCCATAGACTTAGAATAACCCAGCACGCGCACACACACACACACACACACACACACGGAGTGTACATTGATTCATAGAGTCACATTGACACACTATGTATATGACTTGTTCCTCACTCTGACCCAGTAACAATTATTCTTCATCTTCCGGAGGCTTTGAGATGGAGAAAGCACCACTCACTAATGCTTCTGTCTCATCAGATCGCTGGCGTCTCCTGAAGGGGCTTAAGAGGAACAGGCCCCAGCTGGGCTGCTGGCTGGGACTCTAGCCCCATTTCTGGGGCCTCACACAAACTGCTCCATAGAGCCTGGGTTGGACCTGACTCTCCAGGCATCTGGGAACCCACTATTACATTCCATTTTGAGAAAACAGGGACTCTGTAGGGGTCACTTCATTCCTTCACCCCAGCTTACTGAGGGTGCCTCGTGTCCAAGAACCAGCCTGAGAAATCTTTCCCTTGTGCGTGAGAAATGAGACTCTTTCTGAGAGCACAGTGAGGTGTTAGTACTGGGAGAGCCAAACAGCGACCCTTTTTGCAGCCGCAATGATTTGGTGAGGGATTCCGGGGGTCCTGCTGCTTTGGGGCCATGTATTCCCACTTCTGATTGTGTGAATGATAGCTCAGAAGGGGAACAAGCTTTCAAAGTGAAAGTGGGTGCATGTTCCCAACCCGGGAACCTGTGAGTTGGGGAGAGTGCTGGACTCCCTTCCACCGCAGGCAGACTAGGGAGCATCTAAGCTTGGACCTGCCCTCTAGTCCCAGCTTTCACTCCGCCCTAAGCTCAGGGCACTGCAAGTACTGTTTGCTGGTCTGTTCTCTAAGCCCCCTGGCTTCCTGCAGAGTCCGGACCAATGAGGCTGGGCTCAGGCTTTTATCTGCCTAGATTCCCGGTTTGCACTGACCAATGTAAGTGTCGCCCAATAAAACCTTCCTTAACCCCCCCAGCCTCCCCACACCCAGTGCGTCCTTTCCCTCTTGACTTTTTAGCAGTTCTGGGTAAATATTGATTTGCCCCCAGTTTACCTTCTCCCTCACTGGCCATTTTCGGACTAAGGAGCCAGCCTCTGTAAAGACTTGATTTTTGTGTTACTTTCCGGCCCTTTCGTCCTCCACCCCTTCCTCCCTCCAAGTGGCATTGTAAAACTCACAGTAACAAAGAGACAAAGTAGGGTTCGAGGCTCCAGTTCCTGGGGACTGGAGGGCGGTTTTACATACGGGTCAGACGCGGCTGGAGGCCAAGGTCAAGTTGAAAGTTGCTGTCTAGTCAGCGTGAGAAAACTGCCATGCAAGCCTGGAGATCAGGGCGGCTGTGAAAGGCCCACCGCCCACCTCCCCTCACTCATTTCTTTTTCCTTTGGAATTCTAGTTTCTGATTCTGTTTGGCTACCCAGCACTTTTTGTTGTCTTCGCGGAGTTTTGGGGGCAGTATTTACCGACTCTTCTTCTCTGCCTCCGCCCTGCACTTGGCCGGGGCTTTGAGCCTCTTCTATTTTCCAGCTAGACCCGGAAAAACGAAAACACAGCTTGGGAAGCCCCCACCAGCCGGCTCCTGTGCCAGCTCACCTCTGGCTGTGGCTCAGCTTGCTGGTGCACACCTCGGCCAAGGCCAGCTCCACATTCTTCCCTCCCCCCCCCCCACTTCACCGGAGCCGGGAGCCCTGCGCGCAAAGGAAGGGCCTCAGTTCCAGACTGCCAAAGCCGACTGGGTCCCTCCACTCCAAAAATGGTGAGACAGGATTGAAATCTTGTCCACTGAGGAGCCACAAAGCAGGTTTGTCTGGGAGGGACGGCATGGGAGCTCTGAGGGTCGTTCGGTTGCTTGAATTCGTCGGCTTTGGAAACGTGGCGAATTAGGAAATGCTTCTGACATGGTTCTTAGAAGGAGGCAGCCTGCTTGTTCCCTTCTTGTCTTGGATCGCGATATATATGATGTGTTTTTTTCTACCAGGCATGTCAATGGCGTCTTGGCTTGCCTTCACTATTTTTAAATGTCTGCATGTCCTGCTAAGGTATTGGATTATAGTCATCAATCAGTGGGAACGGTTTATAGAATTAAAATGAGCTCTGTGAGTAATTTTGGATCTGTGTTGCTAGAATTTCTATTCACTTTGAAGCAAGAATATTCCCCTTTTTAGTCTTTCACTGAGGGAAATAAGAGAATCATTAAAGGTTTCCAGTATGGTTTCTTACTCCACCAAGCAGCAACCAATCTGGCTTGTTGGTGTGGAGGAAAGCAGGGTGATGAAGACTGGAGTGTGCTTTTAGAAGCAAGCTCAGACCTTATCAACATTCTTCCTCTTTTCCCAAAGGCGAAGTCAAAATTTGCTTGCCTGCCCAGATAGTGGGGCCTGACCTTCTGAGCCATCCCCCATGTTTTTATAGCCCAGGCTTAGGGATTCATATAGGATTTCAGAAGAGCACTATCATCTGACAATTTAATCCTCAGATTTCCCATGGGTTAGGATGGGGAAGCCAGGGAACTCAGTGGAGTCTTCAAGGCAGCAGGGGCCACTTGAGCAAGAGGGCCTGGGGGTAAGGGTAGAGGTAGGAGAGGATGTAGATAGTCCCTGAGCTTTGCCTGGTATGACCAGATTTCTTTGGAGAAGCCCTGAGAGGACAGCGTGATCAGAACTGGAGGGCAGTGACTGCAGCATGGCCTTTGTTCAAGTTTACAGAGCCTTTCTCTTGCTCCCAAACTTTTTTTTTTTTTTTTTTTTTTTACTTCTTGGGGGTGGGCCAGGATGCCCTGTAGGGTCTTGACTGCCCTGGTGCCTTTCACTGAAGAGAGAGACTTTGGCTGGATTTTTCTGGATGGAGGACTCTGGGCCAGAGGATTCTGGGCTCCCAGGGTTGGAGAACAAAAAGGACAAAGGGAAACCAGTTTTTAATCGAGTTTGATTTTCATTAGCAAATGAAATTTACCTGCTCCCACTTTACCTCGGAGGAAGCTGTCAGCACTGCTCCCTGGCACTACTTCTTTGCATGCATCCAGCATTAGGATAAACATTCCTTGCTTGGTTTTAAAGACACTTTGTATTTCAGGATATTCATGTGTTTCTAATGTATCCAAGCAGCTTTATGAGCCGCATTTGCAGAATGTCTTAACCCTCTCCTTTCCACCAGGCTGACTGGGGGCACAGAGATAAATGGCAAAGGAAGAAAGATCCAGAAAGAAAAAAAAATGGCTTGAGGGGCTGAGGCTGGCTGGGAAGGAGAGAGAAGGGGGAAATTTCAAACTGGGTAACTAATCCTCACTGGAACAAACCATTTGGGAATAGGGAAAGTGGGGGACAGCTCTGTTCACGGTGAACTTTTTGAGGGTCCTCACTCCCATCCCTGTGGGGTGAAAGGTATGCCCTCTTTTCTTAAAGAGAAAGAGCAGATCCTGAAACCTGTACAGAAGCTGGACAGTGGGCAGGGAAATGGCATATATCCTGAGTCACTCGCTCAAGCTTTTGTTTGAGATTTTTTTGTGTGTGCATTTGAAGCAATAATGTGACACAGTGAAGGGCTCAAGGTTGTGGAGCTAGTTTTGGACCATGGGAAGTAATTTTGCACTGTGGTGACCAAATGCTAGCACTTGAAAGTGGAAGTGCAAGCTCGAGGAACACACACAGATCTCACCTTGCCTCTAAGATGCCTCAAAGGGTGGATTTTGAGGACAAGTTGTTGGAGAAGCAACTTTCCCACAGATTCCGAGGCTCCATTCTTTCTGGAAGTCACGGGGGGCAAAAATCCAGGGAGATCCTTCTTCCTCCCCAGTTTCAGCACTGCCCTGCAGATAGTCCAGAGAAAGGAGAGTGATGTCCTGAGAACCTCCCCCCACAAACACACACACCGCCACCGTTTTATAACAAGTCCCGGGTCTGGGTCCCAGGCTCCCATGAGGAGCACCCTAACCAGCCCTGGTCACCGGCACCGGGACTTCTCAGGGTTGGCACAAATGTAGAGTGAGGGGCGCATCCCCGCCCTTGAGACCCGACCCTGGGAGGCCTGAGCGATTCCGACACCAGCGGCTTAGGGGTTGTGGGGATGGTGATGGGAGAGTTGTCTGCCTGGACAGTGACTGCTCTGCCCTTCACCCTTCACCGAACCTGGAAACGCAGCCTTCGCCCAAAGGACCTGAACGTGCGTGCGTTAGAAGCAGAGAGAACCAGTTTCTGGGGATAGAAACGCAGCCTGAGGGAGGAAGCGCCTTTCCGCAGTAAGGAGCGGTGGATCAGCAAGGGCACC